TATATCTACATAAGTGTATGTATGTATATATATTTATGTGTATATCATATATATATATATATATACAGACAGGAGACACACAACAATATATATATATATATATATATAGTTGTGTGTCTCCTGTCCCCTTCTGTCTTCTCTGTTGGTTGTTTGTCTCCTTTTGTCTTTATTTTATTATAATAATTATTATTATTTTGTAGCTTATCTTCTTTTATTTTTTTAGTTTATATCTTCATTTTAATTTATATTTTTTTGTTTTTGTTTGCAGCGAGAGATAAACCCCCAGCGAGAGGTCGCGGCAGAGGCCGCGGTATATCTCTTAGAGGTATGTCTGCAGCAGCAGCAGCAGCAGCAGTAGCAGCAGCAGCAGCAGTAGCAGCAGCAGCAGCAGCAGCAGCAGCAGGAGTACGAGCAGCAGCAGCGGCAGGAGTGCTACTTGCAGTAGTAGCGCAGCAGCAGAAGCAGCAGTACTATCAGCAGCAGTAGCAGCAGCAGCAGCAGCAGCAGCAGTGATAGCAGCAGCAGTTGCAACATTAGCTGCTGCTACACCTTGTGCTGCAATGCCCTGCAGGAAGAGGAGGGACGGATAGAGGGAGAGGACGCAGCTGAAGAAGCAACACGTGCAGCAGCAGCAGCAGCAGCAGCAGCAGCAGCAGTTGCTGCTGCTGCTGCGTAGATGCTGAGCAATGCTTAGCTGGGAAGCAGCAGCAAACTTCGTGCTGCTGTTGCTTCCCTGTACTTAACTGCTGCTGCTGCTGCTGTTAGTAGCAGCAGCAGCAGCAGCATTACTAGTGGGGCTAGAGCTGCTACTTCTGCTGCTGCGGCTTGCAGCAGGATCAGCAATTCCTGCTGCAGCAGTAACTGTGCACGGCACGGCATATGCTTGCTGCTGTTAACGAAGCAGCAGCAGCAGCTGCTGCAGCTGGTCTGCTTCCAATGCTGCTGTTGCTGCTAGTGCAGCAGCAGCAGCAGCAGCAGCAGGGCTTTGAGGGGCAGCAAAAGAAGCTTCTTGATTTATATTTTATTTAATTGAGGGAATTCGCCTACTCAATATTTTGCTTCGCACTGCAGCAAAACCTGAAGGTTACGTACACCGGCCGTCTGCTGCTGCTGCTGCTGCTGCTGCTGCTGTTGCTTAGAGCACCTGCTGCTGCAGCTGCTGCGACACCAGCTGCTGCTGCAGATAAAAGTAGTTTATGCAGCCTTATCTATTACTGCTTATGCTGGCATACATCGCACGGAAGTCCACCCAGCAGCAGCAGCAACAGCAGCAGCAGCAGCAGCAGCAGCAACAGCAAACACAATGTGCAGCTCCCTTCGAAACCTACAGGCAGACTTATTGCATAAATAAAATGAAAAATAAGTTGCTGCAGCAACCGCAGTAGCTGCTGCTGCCTCTGTAAAAAGGAGCAGCAGCAGCAGCGGCAGCAGCAGCAGCCGCTGCAGCGGCGGTAGCAGCAGCAGCATTAGGCGTTTGGCGTAAATTAAGTTTGTTTTTCGTTTATATTTGCTGCTGGTGGTTGTGCTGCTGCTGCTGCTGCTGCTGCTTCTTTGAGCGCCCCACGAACAATCTCCTGCAGCGAGTTGCCTGACAGGACCCCGGCTTGCAGCAGTTTGTTGAAGGGGGGAGGATCAGCAGCAGCAGCAGCAGCAGGAGCAGCAGCAGCAGGAGCAGGAGCAGCAGGAGCGGTAACAGCAGCACCCACAGAACCCCGGTCTGTTGCCGCTGCTGCTGCCTTTGCTGCTGCTACATTTGCTGCTGCTGCTGCTTTACCCGAAAGCTGCGATGGTGTAATCGGGCTTGCTGCAGCACCTGCTGCTGTGTTGTCTGTTCTACCTTTTGCTGCAGCAGCAGCAGCAGCATCATTATTTGCACGAACAGGTGGTTCTGCTGCTACTACTACTGCTGCTGCTGCGGATGGAGGTTGGGTGTCTGCAGCAGCAGCGCTGCCCCAGCTCGAATCTGTAACAGCAGCAGCAGCAGCAACTGCTGCTTGCTGCTGCGGGTGCTGCTGCATGAATTGAGGTATATCTAATTTAAAAGGGGGGGTGTCTCTACCTCGTGCTTTTTCGTTCAAGAACGACATCATAGGCTTACCCAAATCCTGCAGCAGCAGCAGCAGCAGCAGCAGCAGCAGAGCAGTAGCAGCAGGAAGAGTAATCGTAACAGGAAGAGTAATCGTAACAGCAGCATCACTAACAAAAACAACCAGCAGCAACAGCAGCATCATGAACAGCAGCATCATGAACAGCAGCAGCAAGAAAAGCAGCAGCATGAACAGCAGCAGCATGAACAGCAGCAGCATCAGCAGCATAACCATCATCATCAGCAGCAGCATGAACAGCAGCAGCATGAACAGCAGCAGCAAGAACATCAGCAGCAAGAACATCAGCAGCAAAATAAGACTTTGAGCATACATCAATAACATAATAAGCATTATGAGAAGAATCGCTAGGAAAGAAGCCTTGCTTGAATTGGCTGTCGTATTGCTGCAGCAGCAGCTGCCCGTGCTGCAGCGGGATGATTTCGTCGTCTTCACCGTGAATAATTAATAAAGGTGTTGAAGGCTGTATTTTATTTAGAGACACTTCGTTGTCCCAGTAGTCTCTTATTAACCACGTCCCCCACGAAGCATACTCTGTACATACACCGCAATTCTATTGTCATTTCTTTCTGTTCAATCCTCCTAATCCTCCTAATGCTGATAATGCTGATAATGCTAATGCTAATGCTGCTGCTGCTGCTAATGCTAATGCTGCTAATGCTAATGCTAATGCTAGTGCTAATGCTAATGCTAATGCTGCTGCTAATGCTAATGCTAATGCTGCTGCTAATGCTAATGCTTCTGCTGCTGCTAATGCTGCTGCTCTTTATTATTATTATTATTGTTGATGATTATAATGCTGTTGATGTCTGTAAGTGTATTGTTAGAGGTATATAGAGCTATGGTGCTGTTGCTGCTGTTGCTGCTGCTGTTGCTGCTACGCCTATCCCTATTTCTACTGCTGCTGTTGCTGCTGCTGCTGCTGTTGCTGCTGCTGCTGCTGCTGCTGCTTAGTGAAGACCCACCTGCAACAATCTTATGCACTGAGAGATAAGGTGCATGCAGCACAACCCCACCAACATAAACACCCTCTTCATACAGAGACGCAGCTAACTGTGCTGCAGGCCCTGAAAGGAGACAGTTAAAGAGACAGTTAAAATAAATTAAAGA